TCTCCACCTTAACACAAATTCGAAAACATCAACAATGAGTGACTTGATTTTCCACCTCTTCGACAAAACCCCTTAAGGGTTATTTTCAAAACTGGATGCCAACTAAGTTCAAGCAATGCTTGAACTTAGTAATGGGCAAAGGCTTGGTAAGCATGTCAGTTGGATTATCTGCAGTACTAATCTTCTGGATGAAAATCTCTCCCTTAGCAAACACATCCTGAACAAAGTGATATATGACATCAATATGCTTGGTTCTCTTATGATACATCTGATCCTTAGTTAAGTGAATTGCACTTTGACTATCACAATGAAGTATGATAGAAATAGACTTGAAAGTAATTTCACTAACTAAATTTCTAAGCCAAATTGCCTCCTTGACTGCCTCTGCAATGGCCATATATTCTGCCTCTTTGGTAGACTGAGCAACTGTAGATTGGAGGGTAGCTTTCCAAGATAGCACATCCTCCCATGGTGAACACATATCTTGTCAATGATCTTCTCTTATCAAGATCTCCTGTATAGTCTGAGTCCACAAAACCTGTCAACCTGCCACCACTCTTATCATACTCCAAACATGCATCTGTGGTGCCTGCCAAGTATTTGAGGATCCACTTGACTGCCTCCCAATGTTGTTTGCCTAGATTAGCCAAATATCTGCTTACAACACTAACAGCTTGTGCAATATTAGGTCTGGTACATACCATCAAATACATAATGCTTTCAACTGCACTTACATATGGAATCTGTGACATGTGACTTATGTACTTATCTATGGTAGGACATAAGTCTGCTGACAATTTAAAGTGAGATGCAAGAGGAGTAGACATTAGCTTAGCCCTTTTCGTGTCAAACCTACTTAATACCTTTTCTACGAAAGCCTTTTGTGAAAGATACAACGTCCCATTATTTTTGTCTTTGATGATCTCCATTCCAAGAATTCTTTTGGCAACTCCCAAGTCTTTCATATCAAACTCAAAACTCAGCTGTTGTTTCACCTTCTTGATTTCAGTCCTATTAGATGGGTTTCAACTAACATATCATCCACATAAAGCAATAGGTACATATTAGTACCATTTGGAAGCCTCTTGAAATACACACAATTATCATAATTGGATCTCTTAAACTCAATATTCCTCATAATAGAATCGAATCTTTTATACCACTGTTTAGGTGACTGCTTAAGGCCATACAATGACTTCTTCAACAAACACATATGGTCTTCTTTACTAGGGACTTCATAACCTTCTGGTTGCTGCATACAAATATGCTCCTCAAGATCACCATGCAAAAATGCAGCTTTCACATCTAGTTGTTCTAGCTCAAAATTATTTTTTAGCAACCAAAGACAATAAAACACGAATAGAAGTATGCTTAACAGATGGTGAGAAAACATCACTAAAATCAATACCTTGTATCTGACTGTAGCCTTTAGCCACTAACCTGGCCTTGTGTCTGACATCTGTGGCACTTGAATTATCAATCTTCCTTTTATAAACCCACTTGCAGCCAATAATCTTCTTCTTCTTATGAGGCTTAAAAAGTGTCCATGTTTGATTCTTCTACAAGGACTGAATTTTTTCTTGCATAACTGAGATCCAACTCGCAGCATTTTCAAAAGATATGGCTTCTTTGTAGCTTCCAGGTTCACTGTATTCTACCTCTTAGGCTATGGCAAGGCATTAAGCAAAATCTGAATAGCCATACTTCTCTAGTGGTCTGATGGTTCTTCTAGGTCTATCTCTGGCAAGGCTATAAGACTGCTCTTGTCGATCTTCCTGAATCTCTTCCAACTTTTCTGAGCTTTCTTCATCAACCTGATGATCACTCTGAGTTGGAATAAAACTAGGAGATTGTGTAGGCTGAGCAACAACTTCAAACTCTACCTATTTTTGATATTTCTCCTTGACCTGAACAGGTGTCTTTGTTGCTTCTCCTTTGTCTTTGAGCATGGAAGACTCGTCAAATGTCACATCTCTACTAATTAAGAACTTATTCTGATCTAAATACCATAATCTGTATCCCTTCACACTAGATGAATACCTAAGGAACACATACTTCTTTGCTCTTGGTTCAAGTTTTCCTTCATTTACATGAGCATATGCAGGACAACCAAAAACTCTTAACATAGAATAATCGGCAGGCTTACTAGACCATACCTCTTTTACTGTCTTACACTCAATGGATGTGTTGGGAGAGCGGTTAGCTAGCCAAACTGCTGTGTTTACTGATTCAGCCCAAAACTCCTTCCTCTAGCCTACATTTGAAAGCATATATCGAGCTTTCTTAAGTAGTGTTCTGTTCATCCTTTCTACAACTCCATTTTGCCGTGGAGTTCCTACAACAGTTTTATGTCTTGCAATGCCTTCTTTCTATAAAACTCATTGAACTTTTCATTATAGAATTCAAGCTCGTTGTCTATTCTAAGCCTTTTGATGTGATTACCTGTTTGCTTTTCAACTAAAGTCTTCCACTGCTTAAAGGTTTCAAACAGTTGACTCTTCTCTTTCAAGAAATATGCCCAAACTCTTTCAGAGAAATCATTAATGAAAATGAGCATGTACTTAGCTTTAGCACCTTTAGAAGGAACTTGAGATGGCCCCCAAAGATCTGAATGGATGTAATCTAAAGTTGCCTTTGTCTTGTGTGTGGCTATGCTAAAGCTCAATCTCTTCTATTTCCCAAATACTCAATGCTCGTAGAACTCCAAGTTCCCTGTTTGTTGTCCACACAACAAACCTGTCTTACTTAATACTGCCATCCTTTTTTCACTCATGTGCCCAAGCCTCATATGCCATAGTTTGGTGTTATCTAAATCAGATGAAGAATTGATCACAGTTGCTGAACTTATAACTGTAGATCCTTGCAAAAAATACAAAGTACCAAATCTTTCTGCCTTCATCACTGACAAAGCACCCTTTGAAACTTTGAGCACTCCATCTTCACACTTGAACTTGCAGCCATTCTTCTCTTGCGACCCCAAAGTAATCAAATTCTTCTTTAAGTCTGAAATGTGTTTAACATTAGAAAGTGTTCTAACCACCCCATCATGCATCTTGATTTGTATTGTGCCTATACTAGCCACCTTACATACGTGATCATTACCAAGAAACACACTTCCATTGAACGGCTCATAAGTTACAAACCAATCTCTGTTAAGAGTCAAATGTTGTGAGGCTCCTGTATCCATGACCCAACTTGTCTCAAAATCGTGTTTAGTGTCATTCACACATAACAGTTCGCCATTATCATCATCTGCAATATTTGCTTCTTCTGACTTAGACTTATTGTCATCTGCTTTCTGCTTAATCTTCCATTTGAAATAGTCGGTGTTAATATATGTCCCTTCTTCTTGCAATAATTACATGTCAAATTCCTATGTCTAGACTTAGACCTAGACTTTCCTGAATTTGAATTTCTCTCCTTAGTTCTTCCTCTATCTACAAACAACCCAACACTCTGATTACTCCCTTCGTTAACTACCAAATTTTTATCGATCTTTTCTTCTTTTTTTTTTTTTTTCTAAATTTGACTTAACCTTTTCTAGGGATAGTTCATCTCTACCATAAATCGTAGTATCTATGAAATTTTTAAAGGAAGTAGGCAAAGAACATAACAGTAAAAGCGCTTGATCCTGATCCTCAATTTTCGCATCAATTTTACTTAAGTCTGTAATTATTAATGAAAATTCAGCTAGATGCAAATTTAAGGAACTACCTTCTAACATTCGCAATGTGTAAAGACATTGCTTTAACTGTAGCCTATTCGTGAGAGATTTTGTCTGGTACTTATTCTCCAACTTTTTCCATGCTTCTGTTGCTATCTTCACTTCCAATATCTCTCTAAGTACATTGGAAGTCAATGCTAGCTAGATTGACGAAATGGCCCTTTTTCATCCATATCCTCCCATTCAACATTTGTCATAATCTCAGGCTGCTTTGCCTTCTCTCGCAACGCCTTCTTGGTACCTTCCTTTGTCAATACTGCCATCATTCTGACTTGCCATATTGCAAAGCTTGTTGTACCATCAAACTTCTCAATTTCAGCCTTAGAGGATAATCCGGTTATGCCGGATCCTAAAGTAGACACCATTACACCAAGCTCTGATATCAGTTTGTTATGAAATATACCCAAAACTATGAAAGTCAAATGAAACAAGCGAGAAATATAAAACATGTGACACAAGAATTTACGTGGAAACCCAAATTGGGAAAAACCACAGGGAGAGAATGGAGAATAATCCACATAATCAAAGTTTGATTACAAATGTGCTCTCTCTCTTTCTCAATAGATTTAAAAAAAAAAAAAAAAGAGGAATAGAATGATGTCTCACCAATGACATTAGGAAGTTTATATACTAAAACCCTAAGTCCTTGAGAATACAAAAATGCCCTTACTAAAAACCTAAGTAGATAAGGACAACTAAGAAGAATTTGTGCCACACATCAACGACTTAAAACTACATACTTGAGTAGAATTGTGAGATAGAAAATTATTAATAAAAGGAAAATCAAACTCATTTAACTTTACAAGCTATATACACTTTGCCATTTGCATTTAAGGCTTTAAGCACTTGTAGTTGGGCGGGGAATTGTGTCGAACAGTTGACGGGCTAAATGAGGTTGGCCTTCCTAGCATATTTTGCTTAGGCGGGAACGAATTGTGGGGGCTTTGAGTTTGGGAAGTGGCGGTGAACGGGAAAGGGGTGGCGGAAAAGTGGTGGGTGGTGGTGTTGGTGGTGGCGGAAGAGGAACAGAGGAGGCCATGGATGGATGAGTGAGTGTTGTTGGCAGTTTAAGGCTTTGGTCTTCTGTTATCCTTTCAAACTCGTCAAAAGGCTTTAGAATCAACAAAGTGCTTTTTTTAAAAGCACTTTTTATTTATTTATGCAGATTAGAGTAAATTCTAATAATTTTTAAATATATTAAGATTATATTTTGTGGTGGAGATTTCATATACGTGTGCAACAAGATCGCTACTTTATCAAAGGAGTGGTCCAGATCCCTTATTCACTCCCCCAGAAGAAAAGAAATCTCAAATTTTTATTACATTTTCCTCTGCCATCGCCAACGATGAAGAAAGCAGAGCTTGTGTTCATCCCTCTAGCAGGCGCAGGCCACTTGGTTCCCGAAGTTGAGTTTGCAAAGCAATTGTTAGAGCGAGATGATGGACGTTTCTCAGTGACTGTTCTTCTCATGGATTCTATTTTTACTGGAAATTTTGTTACACATACGTTATATAAACCGCTTGCAGAATCTAATACTCCAATAAGGTTCATCAATCTTCCTCCTCCTGTAGACTTTTCTCCTTCAATAGATGCTCATAAATCTATAGAAAAGTATATGGTTGAGTTCATAGATTCTCATAAAACTTGTGTTAAAGAAGCGATTGTCAAGCATGTGATTTCCAGTTCTAATTCAGCTACACTTGCTGGGTTGGTACTTGATATGAGTTATGCATCAATGATCGATGTGGGAAATGAACTTGGTGTTCCTTCTTATTTGTTCTTCCCTTCTACTGCAGCTTTTCTTGGTCTCATGCTGTACCTTCCAACTCGACATGATGAAGTTGGAAGAGGATTTGAAGAGTTTGATGGTGAGTTGATGATCCCTAGTTATGTTAATCCGGTTCCAAGCAGTGGTCTGCCGGAGGTTCTGTTAAACAAGTACGGTGGCTACGCTACATTAATGAACCTTGGAAGAAAATTCAGGGAGACCAAAGGGATTATTGTGAACACATTCCAGGAGCTGGAATCTCATGCGGTTAAGTCTTTGTTGAATGATTTTGATCATATGCCACCAATTTACACAGTCGGACCAGTTATTGATGTAAAGGGACGTCAGAGTGATGAGACAGAAAAAGCTGATGAGATAATGAAATGGCTTGATGATCAGCCTGATTCATCAGTTGTTTTCTTGTGCTTTGGAAGTGGAGGGAGCTTTGGTGAAGAACAAGTCAAAGAAATTGGATTTGGATTGGAGCAAAGTGGGGTAAGGTTCTTGTGGTCTTTACGGAAACCACCACCAAATGGCAAATTTGAAGGTCCTAGTGATTACAAGAGTGATAATCTCCAGGAAATCTTACCAAATGGGTTCTTGGAAAGAACAAAGGAAAAGGGTTTGGTGTGTGGACGGGCACCACAAAAGGAGGTGTTGGCTCATAAATCAGTGGGAGGATTTGTGTCACATTGTGGGTGGAATTCAATCTTGGAGAGCTTGTGGTTTGGTATTCCAATTGTGACATGGCCTATGTATGCTGAGCAGCAGCTTAATGCTTTCCAAATGGTGAAAGATTTGGGATTGGCCTTGGAGTTGAGAGTAGATTATAGGATCACTGATGGGGAAGTTGTATCGGGAGATGAAATAGCAAGAGCCATAAAATGTGTGATGGAGAGTGATAATGAAGTGCGAAAGAAGGTGAAAGAGATGAGTGAAAAGAGCAGATTAGCAGTCATGGAAGAAGGATCTTCATTTGCTGCATTTGGACGCTTTATTGATGATGTATTAGGAAATATGCCATGAATGAAGCATAATCTTAATCATCTTTAATCTTTACATGATTAGCAGTAACTGTTCTTCTTATGCAATCTGCTATTAATAGAAAAGCTGCCACAGCTGAATCCACCAAATCACTTCCAGAATTTAATCCTCGAATAAGGTTAATCAATCTTCCACCTCCTGTACACTTCTCTCCTTCACAATAGCTTCATAAATCCTTAAAGAACTATGTAAATGAGTTCATAGATTGTCATAAAGCTTGTGTTAGAGAAACTATTGTCAAGCATGTGATTTCAAGTTCTAATGCAACTCCACTTGCAGGGTTGGTAATTGATATGTTCCCTACATCAATGATTGATGGCGAGGTTGTGATCCCTAGTTATGTTAATCCAGTACCAACCGGTGGTCTTCCTGAAGGTTTGTTAAACAAGAATGGTGGCTACTCAACACTTATGAACCATGGAAGAAGATTCAAGGAGACCAAAGGGATTATTTTCAACAAATTCTAAGAGCTGAAAGGGATTGTTCTAAATGGTGGTGGGTTTGTTTTCTTGCAAATCTTACCAGAAGACTTGGAATTGGAAGTCATACCTCGTCTTTCAAGGTTCTTATCTGGCTCCTTCATTGCTTAGGTGTTGAAAAATGACCTTTTAGCTCAAGGTTAACTAAGATAAGATTGAGAGGATAGCGAGTGATTGAAGAGAAAATTATTATTCCTTCTCGAATTTGGCTTGTACAAAATGATTAGGGGTCACCCTCAAGGGAGTCTTCTACACTCCAACTCCCGACTATCACCTAGTCTAATAAAATATCATATATCACTCCTCACAATTAATAGTTATCTGACAATTATGTAATAAAGATATTTTTACAAGATCTATTATTTGAGCTGCCAAATATACACTTTATATTGGGTTTAGAAGGAAATATTAAGCTAGTAATCTGAGCGATAAACCCAAATAGTCTTGGCCCAAATCAAGTCATAAATTTGAGGTAAATGATTGAAGACACCCCATTCTTAATTTTTGAAAGAGCGTGATGTACTTCAATATATATATATATATATATATATATATTTTAATGATTGAATGTCTAGGTTAGTTTACGTATATCTTCGTTAATCTCCTAAGATCCTAAAACTATTAATCGGATAAGAGTTTCAGTGACTAAATCTATTAGAATCCGATGAGGGATTTAAACTCATAATTTCTTGAATAATATATCCAAGAGTCTCTATCAAGCCACTCGACCACCTAAAGATAGTTGTCCTTTATTTTATATCCTTCCTTCTAAGAATAACTGACAATCTACTTTCACCACTAGGTTTAGTAAAGTCTTTGGTAACAATACCTTATAAAAGTACTTCTGATTGAGGAAAAAAATTCATTTTAACTTTCCAATGGTCTTACTTTTCTCCTACAAAAATTGGAATATATAATAAATGTGAAATTTTTATATAAAAGGGTGAGTTGAAAGGCTTAGTGAGTGGATAAGTTTATAAAACAATTTTTCCTTGAAATTAAAATTTCAATTAATATACGAATAAAATCATTCAATACTATCACTAAATTATCTCTTTGGTATCACTTTAGAAATTAATAAATTTTAAGTACACTATCTATCAACGTATTTCCTTTGTGATTATTATTATCTTGATTTCTTATTTCTGAATATTTATTATGATTTAGTGACCATCATAGATTGATAAATTTTCACAATCATCGATGAAATCAACATACATGTTTATTAAACACTAAAATTTTGATAACATGTTAAAATACAATTTAACATATAATATTTTCAACAGCAAACCACATTCTCCATGTCCCAAATACTATATCTGTGGTAGAACATTTTCCATGTGCATAGAAATACCAATACCCTTGAGTGTTCTTCTCATGCATTCTTTATTTACTTGTTTGATGATTTTTTTTATTGTTATTTATATCATTATAATCAATAAATCGATTCAATAACTTGATCTGTTCAATACTGTTATAATCTTTTCAACATCTAACCGCACTCCCCATGTTCGAAATACTATATCTATGGTAGAATATTTTCCATGTGCATAGAAATACTAACTACCATTTACTGTTCTTCTCATACATTTTTTATTTGCTATTTATATCATTATAATCAATAAATCAATTTAATGAGATTATTATAATCTTTTCAACAGCTAACCACATTCTCCACTCTCCATGTCCCAAATACTATATCTACGGTAAAATATTTTCCATGTGCATATATAGAAATACTGACTACCCTTGAGTGTTCTTCTCATGCATTCTTTATTTGCTTGTTTGTTGATTTTTTATTGCTATTTATATTATTTCAATAAATAAATCGATTCAAACAAGATACTAAAAGAATTTATTTAAATTTGTCCACAAAGTATTAGACAAAAATCTAAAACATCACAAAATATTCTACCATCAACAAATCATAAGTACATAATTCACTTCAAATGATTTTTGCATAATTAAATATATGAATTTTTAATTGATTGCTTTATTAAATAATCAGTTTCATTGGTTGGAGACCAATCCATCGTCAACATGTGCAGTTATTTTCCTAAGTACATCACAAAATGACTTTTTCTATAAAAGTGTCGTAAAATAAAGCCAAGACAATTAAAAAAAAAATTATATTTTTCATTTCAAATCTTCATTCCATTATTTGCAGTTGCCACATTTTATCCATTATTTTCCTGTATTGTCACACTAACTGCAATGTTAATATTGTTTAAGATATAACACAATAAGTTCCAGAGTCTTTTTTTTTTTTTTTAAGAAAAAATTATATATGTAAACATATTTACTTAGCTATTTTTTAATATCTTTCGTAGATTCAGGTTGGGTTAAACTTAAGACTCCTATTCTAGTCTTAAGACCGAAATTAACTCGGGGACGAATTCTCATCCCCATCCCAGCACAACCTTGAAATTTAATTTAACACGTAATCTGTAGTTCACACGGGACGAGAGTCGCAGTGAATAAATTCCTACTTTAAAACCATTTTCCACCTCTAAGTTCGATCAAACTTCACTATCAAGTTCTTCCCTTTTCTGCTTATATATACAAGAATAAACTACAAACTACATTATCTCTTCATTTAAATACATCAAACAATTAATAAAATATTAATTTATAAAAAATAAACTAATAGACAAATAATAGACACTGCTGTTTTATTGGAGCAGAAAGGGGTAAGGTTCTGGTCTTGTGGTCTTTATGGAAGGCAGTGCCATAGCACAAATTTGAAGGTCCTAGTGATCACCAAAGTGAGCATCTCCAGGAGGTTTTGCCAAATGGATTCCTGGAAAGAACAATCAATAAAATTTTAATTTATATAAAAAATAATAATAATAATAATACTTTCAGTCTTTCACCACCCATCAACCCATGCATATCCCAAGACTTTCCCCACAATTGATCCTTTTCATGTGGCAAGTGTAACGTGACGGTGTAAATTAAAAGCTTTATTTCTCTATAAGAACCTCAAGTGTGATGAAGGTCAACATACTTTATCTTCTCTCATAAACTACAGCTACCAAAAATGAAGAAAGCTGAGCTTGTGTTCATCCCAGTAGCAGCCGCAGGCCACCTCATTCCCCAAATTGAGTTTGCAAAGAGATTGCTAGATCGAGATGATCGTTTCTCAGTGACTGTTCTCGTCATGCAGTCTCCTTCTTTCACCTCTCTTGCAGCTGCATATGCCAAATCTCTTGCAGAATCTAATACTCCAATAAGGTTCATCAATCTTCCTCCTCCTATACATTTTCGTCCTTCACAAGAGGTTCATAAATCCTTAGAAAAATTCGCAACGGAGTTCGCAGATTATCATAAAGCTTCTGTTAAAGAAGCTATTGTAAATCATGTAGTTTCAAACTCAAACTCAGCTCCACTTGCTGGGTTGGTAATTGATATGTTTTGTACATCAATGATCGATGTGGGAAATGAACTTGGTGTTCCTTCTTATTTGTTCTTCACTTGTAATGCAGCTTATCTTTCTCTCTCGCTATACCTTCCAAGTCGACAAGATGAAGTTGGTAGAGAATTTGAGGTGTTTGACAGTGAGTTGGTGATCCCGGGTTATGTTAATCCAGTACCAAGCAGCGGTCTTCCTGAAGTTTTATTAAACAAGAATGGTGGCTACACAACCGCTGTGAACCATGGAAGAAGATTCAAGGAGACAAAAGGGATCATTATCAACTCATTTGAGGAGCTGGAATCTCACGCGGTCAAGTGTTTGTTGAATGATTTTGATCATTTGCCACCTGTTTACACCGTTGGACCGCTGATTGATCTCAAGGGTGAGAGTAATAAGACAGATTCAAATGAGATCTTGAAATGGCTTGACAATCAACCTGATTTATCAGTAGTTTTCTTGTGCTTTGGAAGCATGGGGAGTTTTGGTGAGGAACAACTGAAAGAAATTGCACTTGGATTGGAGCAAAGTGAGCACAGGTTCTTGTGGTCAATCAGGGAGCCGCCACCAAAAAATGAACTTGAAGGGCCTAGTGATTACAAACTTGATGAGCTGTTGCCAGCTGGGTTATTGGAGAGGACAAAGGAGATTGGAATGGTGTGTAAATGGGCACCACAAAAGGAGATCTTGGCTCATAAATCAGTAGGGGGATTTGTGTCCCATTGTGGGTGGAATTCAAGCTTGGAGAGCTTGTGGTTTGGAGTTCCAATTGTGACATGGCCTATGTATGCTGAGCAGCAGATGAATGCATTCCAAATGGTGAAAGATTTGGGAGTCGCTGTGGAGTTGAGATTGGATTACAGAAGCATGAGTGGAGAAGTTGTGTTGGGAGATGAGATAGCAAGAGCTATAAAATGTGTGATGGAGATTGATAATGAGGTGAGGAAGAAGGTGAGAGAGAAGAGTGAACAGAGCAGGCTAGCTGTGAAGGAGGGTGGATCTTCATTTACTGCATTTCAACGCTTGATTGATGATATATGTATCAATTTAGAAACAAATTAAGCCATGAATTTCATGGTTGGAGTTCTATTGTCATCTGATCTCTTTTAAGTTTCTCACGTTGGATTTGCAATAGAGATTCTTGAGTTTAATAAAGAAATTTCAGAAACTATCCCTACCCTTTTACTAATATTCAAACTCATGACAACTGTTGAACATTTAATAAAAATTTCTGAAACAATAAACTGAATACACAAACCCAGCACCACCCAGCCCATACGGCCATACCCAAATCCTCGTATCAATCTCCAGACATTACCCATCATGTATACCACCACCGTTTATTAATCATCATCATTCCCCACACACCGTAGCCCACCTTTTAAACCATCAACACAACAAACAAAAGTTTTCAAACAAATCATTTACTTAACCAACACAAGCAACCATCGAATTCACTATAAAAACAATCAAATCCATGAAAACAAAGCAAGTAAAAAGATAGGAAAAAAAAGAATGAAGAGAGGAAAATATAAATTAGATTGGATTGTCTAATATTGATTGGCAACATAGTAAAATTGAACCCTTTATTCTTATTATATTTACTATCCTTATTGCTTTCTATTTCCTCCTATTCCTAATTCGGTTCATCCTATTCTTATTTCTATTCTAGTTTATGTTCTTGTTCTTGTTTCTATTTCTATTCTAATTCTTGATCTTATTATAATTCCAGTTTTATTATAATTTTAGTTCTTACTCTAATTTCGGCTCCAATTTTTATTCCAATTTTACTTCTATTTTGACTATTATTCTTGTTCCGGTTCCGGTTCCTATTCTTATTACTATTACTATTCCTATTCATATTTTGTTTCCTATTCGTATTTCGGTTCCCATTCATATTCCGGTTCCTATTCGAGTTTTAGTTCTTATTGTTATTCCAAGTGGTATTTATATTCTGGTTTCCATAACCAATCCCATTCCCATTCCAAATCCGAATCCATTTCCCTTTCCTATTCTCACTCTGATTCCATTTCCAATTTTTATTACAAGAAATGTCACGAAGGAAAAGAAAAAGGATACTTCATCTTCTCTCATAACTTGTTGAAGATTGTGATATCATGCTGGAAATGATAAAGTTGACAGAAAATTCGAACTGCATGTTTTGCCGCTGCCATTTGAACTTCCACTGTGCATGGAGAAATAGTTTTTTGGTTACTATTTAGAATGATTTCAGTGATGTGCTTAGGTGAATTAGGTTTGATTAAGTGATGTATTTGATAGGTTTGTACGTCCATTGGTTGAATGTGCCTTGTTCAAATTTTAAATTTGCAAAACTTAAGGTGAAACTGTGGCGGGTTCTTGTATAAATTATCCCTATTTTTTTAATGCAAAACAAAGCATTTCTTCAGCCTTCATTTTGTCTCTCTTTCATCAGTTTTCTCTCTTGTATTCTCTTGCAAAAACCAATAATTGGTATCAGAGCTCATACTGATCTTAAAGGGCCCGATACACTCATTTTCTTTATCCAACCTTTCAACCCCTGTTACAGCATCTTCACTGTCAAACTCCAAATAATTTGTTTTAATGACACAACCTACGACTTCTCTTACTCCTCCAGTCTTCAATGGCGAACAATACCACATGTGGGCTATCAAGATGAAGGCATTCCTTTTGGACAAGGCCTATGGCAGTATGTGGAGGAAAATCGTCAACCACCTCAATTAGGACCAAATCCACCCTGACTCAGATTAGGATACATGAAGAAGAAGTTGCCAAGGCACCGAGAGCCCTATCTCACATCCATGCAGCCGTAACTGGCCTTGTTTTCACAAGGATTATGGCATATGAAACACCAAAGGAAGCATGAGATTAGTTGAGAGCAGAGTTTATAGGAAGTGACACAATAAGAGGCATGCAAGTGTTGAACTTGAGAAGGGAATTTGAAATGCTAAGAATACAAGAAACTGAGAAGGTAAGGGAGTATGTTGATAGGTTGATGAGTGTGGTTAACAAAATTAGGTTACTTGGGGTGGAGTTGACAGATAGAAGAATAGTAGAAAAAGTGTTGGTGAGCTTACCTGAAAGATTTGAGTCCAAAATCTCTTCTCTTGAGGACTCTGAGGACCTATCTCAAATCACTCTCACTGAGCTGGTCCATTCCTTACAAGCTCAAGAGCAGAGGAGACTTTTAAGACAAGAAGATGCAAGTGAAGGTGCTATGATTGCAACTCACAAGAGGAAGTTTGTGTAAGGAAGAAATAAGAAGAATGCTGGAGACAAGAAGGGGAAGGAAAGGGCCAACAATCAGTAGAACAAATCAGGTGGGATGAAGGAGTATCCACCGTGTTCTCACTGCAAGAAGAAGGGACACTCATAGAAAAGGTACTGGTTCAGGCCAGGAATCCAATGCATGGCTTGCAAGCAATTTGGCCACATAGAGAGAGTCTGTAAAAATAAAGGAGAACCTTCCCAATAGCAAGCTCGAATGGTTGAAGACCAATAGCAAGGCTAAGAAGCTGAGCAATTGTTTGCAATGAGACTTGGTTGATTGATAGCGGCTACGCCAACCACATGACTCCGAATTTGCAAAGCTTCATCAGCTTGGACAAGGCATATTAGTCCAAGGTTAAGATAGGGAATGGAGAGTTTGTAGATGTCAAGGGCATAGGTGACATGGCTGTGTAAACTCAATAAGGTACCAAGCTGATTTCTAACGTTCTTTATGTTCCTGAAATAAGCCAAAGTTTGCTTAGTGTAGGACAAATGTTAGAGAGAAAATATGTCCTACATTTTTAGGATCAATCTTGCAAAATTTTAGATAGTGAGGGCTGTGAACTTATGAAGGTTAGAATGATGGGAAAAAAGCTTCCCCATTGACTGGAAAAAATTAGAGTTTAAGGCTCATAGTGCTAAGGTAGATGAATAAAAAATATGGCATAAAAGATTTGGCCATTTTCACTACCATAGCCTTAAAGAAATTCAGACCAAACAGCTGCTCCAGAACATGCCCGAAATTGTTGAAATCAAGTCTGCATTCTTGAATGGTTAGCTCAATGAAGAGATTTATATTGAGCAACCGGAAGGGTACCAAGTAAAGGTCAAGAGAACAAAGTATATCTTTTAAGGAAGGCTTTGTACGGCCTAAAGCAGGCTCCTAAAGCCTAGTACAGTACGATCAATGATTATTTGATTAGTTTGGGATATTTGAGGAGCTCCAATGAGCACACCTTATATGTGAGAGAGCTGGAAGGATAATTGATTATTGTCTCACTCTATGTAGATGACCTTCTCATCACCGAAAGTAGTCCAAGTCAATTGAATGAGTTTAAAGAAGCCATGCATGGTCAATTCGAAATGACAGACCTGGGAGAAATGTCCTACTTCCTTGGTATGGAAATCAGTCAAGTTTCATGTGGGATTTTTGTCAATCAAAGGAAGTATGCTAATGAAGTTCTTAAAAGATTTGGCATGGATAAGTGCAAATCAGTGGATACTCCACTAGTTGCAAATCAAAAACTGAGCAGAGAAGATGGGGTTGTGAAGGAAGATGAGGGTCTGTACAGAAGTTTAATAGGTTGTTTGCTATACTTAACATCAACCAAGCCTGATTTAATGTTTGCAACAAGTCTTCTCTCTAGGTTCATGTGCCAACCGAGTGAAATGCATCTCAAGGCAGCCAAGAGGGTGTTGAGATATATTAAAGGCAATCTTGAATTTGGTGTGTGGTTCAAGAGGTCTGAAAAATTTCAGCTTGTTGGATACTCAGACAGTGATTGGGTTGAATCCATTGATGATATGAGGAGTATTTCCGGCTATGTATTTTTCTTGAATTCAGGTGCTATTTGTTGGCAGTCCAAAAAATAGGAAACTACAGCTCAGTCCATAGCAGAAGCAGAATACATTTATGTTGCTGCTACCGTGAACCAAGCCATTTGGCTTAGAAAAATTCTGAATGATTTAAAGCAGACTCAGATGAGGCCTATTGTGATCCTTTGTGACAATCAATCAGTACTAGCTAAGGCCAAAAACCCAGTTCTTCATGGTCGAACCAAACATATAAAGATAGAGTTTCATGTTGTAAGGGAAGCAGAACAAGATGGAGAAATTAAGCTGATGCATTGCCGAGGTGAAGAACAAGTTGCAGATATCATGACCAAGGCCTTATCCAAAGCCAAGTTTGAATGTCTAAGGCCTAGACTTGGTGTTTCCAGCAAAGATATCAAGGAAGAATGTTGAAGATTGTAATATCATGCTAGAAATGATAAAGATGACAAAAAATTCAAATTGCATGTTTTGCTGCTGCCGTTTGAACTTCCACTGTGCGTGGAGAAGCAGTTTTTTGGTTACTATTTAGAATGATTTTAGTGATGTGTTTAGGTGAATTAGGTTTAATTAAGTGATGTATTTGATAGGTTTGTACGTGCATTAGTTGAATGTGTCTTGTTCAAATTTTAAATTTGCAAAACTTTAGGTGAAACAGTGGCGGGTTCTCGTATAAATTATCCTTGTTTTTTGAATGCAAAACAGAGCATTTCTTCAGCCTTTGTTTTGTCTCTCTTTCATCAGTTTTCTCTCTTGTATTCTCTTGCAAAAACCAACATAACTACAACCACCAACAACGAAGAAAGCTCAGCTTGTGTTCATCCCTTTACCAGGCGTAGGCCACCTGCTTCCCGAAATTGAGTTTACAAATCGTTTGCTAGATCAAGATGAATATGGTTCTCAAAACATTTCTTCTCATGCATTATGCTCGTAATAGAAATGCTATGACACCTACATACATCAAGTCACTCGCAGCATCCAACTCTCGAATAAGGTTCATCAATCTTCCTCCTTCTATAAGTTTCTCTCCTTCACAAGAGGCTAATAAATCTATAGAAAAAATTGTAACTGAGTTCATAGGTTGTCATAAAGCTAGTGTTAAAGAAGTTATTGTCAAGCATGTAGTTTCCAGTTCTGACCAAGGTTCACTTGCTAGGTTGGTGGTTGATTACTTTTATACATCAATGATAGATAAAGGAAATGAACTTGGTGTTCCTTCTTATTTGTTCTTCCCTTCTGGTGCTCCTTATCTTGGTCTGTTGTTGTACCTTCCAACTTGACATGATGAAGTTGGTAGAAAATTTTAAGAGTTTGATGGTGAGTTGGTGATCCCTAGTTGTGTTAATCCTGTTCCAGGCACGGTCTACCAGAGTTTTTGTTAAATAAATATGGTGGGTACACTACACTTATGAACCATGGAAGAAGATTCAAGGAGACCAACAGGATTATTGTCAACACATTCGAGGAACTGGAATCTCATGCGGTTAAGTCTTTGTTGAAAGATTTTGAGAATGTGCTACCAGTTTACACAGTCGAACCAGTTATTGATGTAAAGGGACGTCAGAGTGAGAAGTTAGATTTGGATGAGATCATGAAATGTCTTGATGATCCGCCTGATTCATCAGTTGTTTTCTTGTGCTTTGGAAGCTGGGGGAGCTTTGGTGAAGAACAAGTGAAAGAAATTGCACTTGGGCTGTAGCAATGTGGGCACAGGTTTCTATGGTCTTTACGGAAGCCATCAATAAAAGATAAATTTGAAGGGCCAAGCAATTGCAAGAGTGATCATCTCTAGGAAATCTTGCCAAAAGCGTTATTGGAGAGAACAAAAAAGATGTGAGACATTTTCTTAACTGGGAATATCTATTATCAAAAGGTCGTGTAACTCCAAAAGATCATGTACCTTCAAAATATTGTGACCATATCTCAAAGGGTTTTCCAAAAGGTACCTTCTCTTTAAAAGGTACCAACAGTCCTATATTAGAAGTAAGATTTTATGTAGAAGTATAAACAAATAAGACTACAATTCTAGACTTCTAGTATAATTAAAACTCTCTCAAGTCTGCTTCTGTTTTGTGTATAACACAAGCAAGTTCTTCATTGTATCCTAAAAAAATTCGCTGATCATATTTGCACTATAAAGAGGGAAATTTCCTTTAAGAAAGTGGCATTGATACACGCCTTGAAATTGGTAGTCAGTATCCTAGTTCTAACAGAAGATTGGTTTGGTGGGTGGATGGGCACCACAAAAGGAGGTCTTGGCTCATAGTTCAATTGGAGGATTTTTGTTACATTGTGGGTGGAATTCAATATTAGAGAGCTTGTGGTCTGGTGTTCCAATTGTGACATGGCCTAAGTATGCTGAGCAACAGATTAATGCTTTCCGAATGGTGAAAGATTTGGTAGTGCCTGTGGAGTTGAGATTGGATTACTATAAAATGTGTGATGGAGAGATAATAAAGTTAGGAAGAAGGTCAAAGAACAGAGTAGAAAGAGCAGAGATTAGCAGTGATGGAGTTTTATTGCCATTTCTAATCTTCTAAGACTTTCTTAAAATATAATAAAGAGGAACTCACTTCTTTTCTCTTCAAACTGTCTATGATTAATTATTCGATTTGCATGTATAAGATTGACTTCAGGATTCTCTCTAAGAATACTCAATGCTTCAATATGTCTTCATCTCCTCTCATGACTAGCTACTACCACCACCAACAATGAAGAAATAAAGCCATGAGTTGCATTGCTTTGACTGTCGGTTAACCACGATCAACATGTGACTGATCATCTACCTTCAAATACTTTATTTATAATTTCCTACGATAATAATACTTAATACAGTATAATGGCCAAATGGAATGACAACATATGCATATAATCTATACATTTACCTAAACTTTTGTCGATGATCGAGTAATTCCATTTGCATATAATATTTTCCACCACCTAAAACTTTGTTCATGATTTGATTATTTCCATTTGCAGTTTTGCATATATAAAATGACTCATAAACATTGACTTTATAAAACAATATCTCTATATATAATAATGTTCACCACTAGCTACTACCACCCCCAACAATGAAGAAAGCTGAGCTTGTGTTCATCCCTGTATCGGCCACAGGCCATCTCATTCCCAATATCGAGCTCGCAAAGCGCTTCTTAAGTCGAGATAATCGTTTCTCGAAAACCATTCCTGTCATAGATTTTCCTACTGACACATCTATTACAGCTGCATACACCAATTCATTTGTTGAATCCAACCCTCAAATAAAGTTCATCTATCTTCCTCCGACCGCAGACTTCTCTCCTTCCCAAGAAGCTAATAAATCTGCAGAAAAGTTCTTAACCGAGTTCATAGATTGTCACAAAGCTTCTGTTAAAGAAACCATTATCAAGCATGTGCTTTCCGGTTCTGATTCAATCTCACTTGCTGGATTGGTTGTTGATTTCTTTTGTACATCAATGATTGATGTGGCCAATGAACTTGGTGTTCCTTCTTATTTGTTCTTCCCTTCTGGTGCGGCTTATCTTGGGCTCTTTCAGTACCTTCTGTTCGTTTTTGTGATGCTGGTTGTTCAAAGAAGAAGAGAGATAAAAACTAAAACTGGACATGTATTTTCATTAGACAAAATCTGCATATAACATACTTCAACTACTGTTTCAACAACCAGCAGACTACTTTTCCTTAATCTCAGCTAAGCCACACAAAAGGCTAACTACTTCATTACAAAAGCTGAGTCATTAAACAAAGGATTAACATTAAATTACAATATATCTTAAGCTACTAAGAAGAGAAGTACTCCCATGCAGTCCATGCAGAGTAGAAACTCTTCCAGGTTTCACATACATTCGGCAACCAACTTCCAGCACAGCATCAACCTTCAACACTCCACCTTGGTGCTTTGGCTGGAAACACCAAGTTTTAGCCTCAAGGCTTCAAACTTGGATTTGCATAAAGCCTTTGTCATGATATCTGCAACCTGGTCTTCCCCTCGGCAGTGAACTAAGTTCACTTCTCCACACTGTTCAGCTTCCCTAACAGCATGATATTTAATTTTAATATGCTTTGTTCTGCCGTGAAGTACAGGGTTGTTTGCCATTGCTACAACCGACTGGTTATCACACAAAATCATGGTAGGATCCAGTTGCATTTGCTGTACGTCATTAAGCATCTTCCTAAGCCACACAGCCTGGTTCACAGCTGCTGCGGCAGATACATATTCAGCTTCAGCAGTGGACTGAGCCACAATTTCCTGCTTCCTTGACATCCAACTGATAGCACCCTCATTCAGGTAGAACACGTAACCAAAGGTGCTTCTTGCATCATCCAGGGATCCACCCCAGTCACTGTCAGTGTACCCCATTAGCTTCAGACTTTCGGATTTTCTGAACCAAATGCCTAACATGCAGGTTCCTTTCACATACCTCAACACACGTTTGGCAGCTTTAAAGTGCAATTCACTTGGGTTGCTCATAAACCTTGAGAGGTAACTTGCTGTAAACATAAGGTCAGGTCTGGTGGCTGTATAATACAGCAGACTTCCTACTAGGCTTCTGTATTTCCCTTCATCAACTCACTCTGCACCATCTGTTTTGCTTAACTTCAGGTTGGGAACCAGAGGGGTATTCACTGGTTTGCAATTCTCCATTCCAAACCTTGAAAGTAGCTCGGTTGAATACCTTTGTTGACAAACAAAAATCTCCCCAACACCTTGAGTTATCTCCATGCCAAGGAAGTATTTCATCAATCCCAAATCTGTCATTTCAAATTCAGCTTGCATATCCAACTTGAATTGGTCCAATTCATCAGGATTACTCCCTGTCACCAACAAGTCATCAACGTATAAAGAAACCACAGCCACTCCCTTTTCAGTTTTCCTAATGTAGAGAGTGTGTTCATTAGGACTTCTAATATATCCAAGGCTGCATAAGTGGTCATTTATTCGGTTGTACCAGGCTCTAGGTGCCTGCTTCAGGCCATATAATGCCTTCCTCAGTAGGTACACATGGTCCTCCTTTCCCTCAACCTGGTAGCCTTCGGGTTGCTCTACATACAACTCCTCTGAAATCCATCCATTTAGGAATGCAGACTTGACATCCAGCTGGAAAATTTTCCAGTTGAACTGAGCTGCAAGAGCCAACAACAGCCTGATTGTGTCTTGCCTAGCAACCGGGGCAAAGGTTTCTGAAAAATCAATGCCTGGTTGCTGTGCAAAACCCTTCACCACCAACCTTGCTTTATGCTTGTAGATTGAGCCATCAGGGTTGATTTTCAGTTTGAAAATCCATTTAACCTGAATGACTTTTCTTTTTTCAGGTCTAGGTACCAGTTTCCAGGTTTGATTTTTATTGATCATGCTCAATTCTTCCTGCATTGCAGCCCTCCATAACTCAGATTTTGCAGCATCAAAGTAGCATCTTGGCTCCACCACTGTCGTATTACACCTTTCATACACATCAGCCAAGGTCCTAGTTCCTCTCACAGCATGATCTTCTTCCTCATCTGAATCTGCCTCTTGAATCAGTCCCTCTCTTCTCTCATTCTGACTTGATTCAACCTGCACATCAACCCTTTGTTCTTCCCAATTCCATACTCCACATTCATCAACCTTAATGTCCCTTGTGATTACAATCTTTTTGGACTCAGGAACATAAACTCTATAGGCTTTAGAGTTGCTGCTGTAGCCTATAAATATCCCAATTTTTGCCTTGTCATCCAACTTAGACCTTTTGCTGGCTGGGATCATTACATAGGCTATACTCCCAAATTCTTTCAGGTTCCCTACTATTGGCTTGATCCCAGTCCATGCCTCAATTGGTGTTTGATGTTTGACAGCCTTGGTGGGCAGCCTATTCAGCAGGAAAACTGCTGTATTGACAGCTTCTGCCCAGAACACTTTAGGGAGGCTTTTTCCAGTCATCATGCACCTGGCCATTTCCATAATGGTTCGGTTTCTTCTCTCACAGACACCATTCTGCTGAGGGGTATATGGTGCTGTGAACTGCTGCTGTATTCTAGCTAAGCTGCAGATTGACTTGAACTCATTGAGGTGTACTCAGTTCCATTGTCTGTCCTCACTGCTTTGATCAAGGTTCCAGCTTCATTCTCCACCAGCAACTTGAATTTTTTGAACACAGCAGCCACTTTACTTTTCTGCTTCAAGAAATAGACCCAAGCCACCCTTGAAAAGTCATCAATGAAGAGTACAAAATACCTGCTGCCATTTAGAGATTCTGTCTTCATAGGGCCACACACATCCGAGTGGATCAATTGCAACTTGTGACTTGCTCTCCAGGCTTGATCCGAAGGGAATGGTGGCCTGCTAAGTTTGCCAAGTTGGCAGGCTGTGCACAAGGTCCTTTTCTCTTCTATTTCGGGCAGGTCTACTACCATGTCCCTTGACTTGAGTTCTTTGATTCCAGGGTAATGAAAATGTCCAAGCCTTCTATGCCACAACTCAGACTCTTCAACCTTGGTGATTAATGCTGAGTTTTCTGGTTTTTTCCAGTCTAGTGGAAAGCTTTTGTCAAGCATTTTTACACTCAACAACTCCTTTCCTTCTCTATCCTTTATAATGCAAGAATTGTTTTGGAAATGCAAGGTAAAATTTTTCTCTAACATTTGACCTACACTTAACAAGTTTTGTGCAATTTTAGGTACAAACAAAACGTTAGAAATAACCTTAGTTCCTGCCTTGGTTTGGACTGCCACATCTCCAATCCCTCTTGCTTCTACATAGTCACCATTTCCAATCCTAACCTTGGAGCTGTATGTCCTGTCCAGCCTGACAAAGTTCTCCACATTTGCTGCCATGTGGTTAGTGCATCCGCTGTCTATCAGCCAAACTTCTCCACAGGTCTGCATTGAGTAGCATGAAGCTACAAACAGCTGTTCTGATTCATTGGTCTGCTGCTGTTCATCTGCACTTTGTGCTTGCTGTGGTGGCTGTGCAGCCTTGTTCCTGCACACCTTCTCAATGTGGCCGAATTGTTTGCATCCCCTGCATTGAATCCCAGGCCTGAACCAGCACTTGCTGTCTGGATGTCCCTTCTTTTTGCAGTGGGAACATGGTGGATAACTTCTTCCTCCACTCTGTTTTCCCCACTGTCCACCAGCTCTCTCTTTTCCTCTCTTATCCCCAGCATATCTTCTGTTACTCCCCTGCATATTCACTCCCTTTTGAGCAGCCATCATAGCACCTTCATTTGAGTCCTCCTGCCTCATCAACCTTCTTTGTTCTTAGGCCTGCAGAGCATGTACCAATTCGGTAAGGCTGATTTGGGAGAGGTCTTTTGAATCTTCTAAGGAAGATATCTTGGACTCAAATCTTTCCGGAAGGCTTACTAACACCTTTTCAACTATCATCTTGTCACTCATCTCAACTCCCAACAATCTGATTTTGTTCACCACACTCATGAGTCTATCCACATACTCCTTAACCTTCTCTACCTCCTGCATTCTCAGCATTTCAAACTCCCTGCGCAGATTCATAACTTGCATGTTACGGGTTGTATCACTTCCCATGAATTCCTCTCTTAGTCTATCCCAAGCCTCCTTTGCAGTTTCACACGCCATTATCCTTGTAAATACAAGGTCTGTTACTGCCGAATGTATGTGAGAGAGAGCTCTTGGAGCTTTGGACATTTCCTCTTCATACATTCTCATTTGGTTCAAGGTTAGGTTTGGACCAAGTTGGGGTGGCTGTTTCTCCTCTTCCACATACTGCCACAACCCTTGTCCTCTCAGGTAGGCTCTCATTCTAACAGCCCAAATGTGGTACTGGTCCCCGTTGAACACTGGATGTGAGAGAGATGCAGATTGGGAAGCCATGCGTGAACTGGTTGCAGTTTTTGAAAAGCTTTGGTTTTTCTTGCGTAAGAGTGAAGTTTGATGGTGATTTGGGATGAGTTTTTTGAGTGATCTTTTAGACGTTAGTTGGTTGATGAAGCTCTGATACCATGTTCATTTTTAAAAAAAAAGATAATAAAAAAAAAAAAAAAAAAAAAAACTAAAAACTAGACATAAATTTTCATTAGACAAAACCTGCATATAACATACTTCAACTACTGTTTCAACAACCAGCAGACTACTTTTCCTTAATCTCAGCTAAGCCACACAAAAGGCTAACTACTTCATTACAAAAGCTGAGTCATTAAACAAAGGATTAACATTAAATTACAGTATATCTTAAGCTACTAAAAGAGAAGTACTCCCATGCAGTCCATGCAGAGTAGAAACTCTTCCAGGTTTCAAATACATTCGGCAGCCAACTTCCAACATAGCATCAACCTTCAACAGGGTTGTTCACATTCCTTGAATGAATGTTCTGACTGACAACCATATTGATGCTAAAGAAAGAGTCCACCTGTATATGCTGCCATACTCTTCTTCTTCTTCTTGATCTTCTTTTTTTTCTCCTTTTTAATTTATAAAGCTTCTTCATATGATATGCCCAGCTGAGTAAACATATGTTTTTCTGTTTTTATTCTACAAGCAAATAAATTCTTCCTCTTGTTTTCCTTCAAAAACATGGTGGTTCCTTTCATGTCAGCTAAAGGATAGCTTAGACAGCACACTTCCTTCTGATTCCTAGCTTTCTTTCCTTTCCAAGGAAAAAACATTCTCCATAAAAATGGATTCACAAGAACCTGATACAGCCAGTGGAAAATTTGTCTACCTTGCTCAACTTAGCCCACAAAATAGAAGCTACTTTGTGGTGCAGGAAGAGAAGATCAACTGTCTCTTTACTTTTCTGGACATCTCAAGATGCGAATATATTGATATTTGAATTGAACTAGTTACCCCTATTTAGGAAGCTTTTGATTTCACTGTGGATACCTGGTTCGCTCTTCCTTTTCCTCTTCTAATATATTTTATTTTTATTGTTTGTATTCCAAAAATAGAAAAAGTATAAATGTTTATTCGAATGTAATTGAAAACTAATTTCATGCTGATGTGTATATTTATTGTTCTATATTAAAATTCTATACCTCTTAAGTAAGACATCCTTATTTCTCATAGGAGATTGGCAGATATTGTTTCAAATTTATGCCATTTCATCTGTTATATTTTTAATTGATCTTCATTACTCTTTTCTTTTGTCATCCTTACCTTCTATCAGGTTGCATTAAACTCAAACGTCGCTATTCAAAGACATTGGAGTTGGTTCAGGAATTGAAACATAATGGGCTGCAAAGGGACAGTGTGATGCATGGGATACTTTTGGCCGTTTGTGCTTCAAATAGTCTACATGAAGAAGCTGAGAGCTACTTTAACTGCATGAAGGATGAGGGTCATTCGCCTAATCTATATCACGATAGCTCGTTTCTAAATGCTTACTCTTCAGGTGGAAACTATGAGAAGGCTGATGAGTTGGCTCAAGAAATGAAATCTTCAGGGTTAGTACCAAATAAGGTTTGTTTTCATATACATCATGCCATTGTATTCTGGAGCTTTAGTAGTGCTATACTTATTAATGATATTTTTTGGTGGTTGAGCTATAAATCTAAAATTCTAGGTGTTGTAATTGTCTTGTTGCTTTTATATAGTTCAACACTATAGCCATTATATAATGTTGGTCAAATCAGAAATTTTTTTTTGGAATAGAAACACGTTAAAGTTTCATTAGCGAAAAACAATTAAAAGATTTCTTCTTGGTCATCAGGTCCCATTCTCTCTTTAGTTGCTCCATCCATTTCCTCGTCAGGAAGCTATTTAACATCATGGATCTTTTACTTCCTTTTCAAGAGCTGCTGATCATAGTGTTTTTTATGCAGTGCTGATATGCATTGTACTGATAAGAAATTCTAAGAATTGAACTGAAACCAAGTTTCCTAGTCCGGAGTTGCTTTAAAAAGTTTTTCCATATGCATAATAAGGCTTCTTCTCTAAAAATGAGAGTATCTTCTTTATGATGTTTTTTTCTGACATAGATAATGGTGCAAAATCCATGTTAACTAATTTGAAATAGAAAAAGGATGGATAATTTGTTATATACAAATTTGGCACCGAAAGGAACTGAAAGGAAGTGCTTAATTAAATATCATATGGAACATTAAGAGAAACATCTGTATTCTTAAAATATTAAGTTCTTATTTGAATATGTTTCTAAAGTCAAGCTCATCCTTATCTTCTGCAGTAATAACGGATAAGTAAAAGTTGTGCTTGAATGCACCTTCATTTCTAAACAAAGCTATTCTATCTTAAAGTTAACAACCATAGTGTTTAGAATTTATTATATACAGAAATCTGATCTGGACTTAATGGAAGAGAGTGCTGTTTTTGCTCTGATGTTGCTAAAACAGGGTGAAACTTTAAATTTGAAAATTTAGATCTTTGCATAGATTCTTCTTCGATAAGTATGAGATGGTGAGGTTGCTTAATCATTAATTTCATCTTGTTTATTGAAAATTATCTTGTGCATGGATCTACTTTATAGTCTTTGGATATGTTTAGGAAGCAATTTCTCTGTGTGCCCTAATGCCTGTTTTATAAATAGAAACGAAAATGTTAAGGTCGATTGCCTAAGTGAGGTTGCTGATATTCTTATAAGAGGTTGTCCATCTTCTCTGAGAGTATTTTTTTTCCCTTTTATTTCTTCTTTGTTTGAAATCCTTCTTATTTCTGTTTAATGCTGTAAGATACTAATGTAGAGCAATCAGTCAGAGTGATTGTTAATTTGTCCTGAATGTATTATTGTGTCAGTCTCAGTCAAAGAATACTCATAAAGGGATTGTTTCTCGTTACTTTTCTTGTTATTATCTACATCTTCAATGTCTTGCTTGATTTCTATGTTCCATAGACGTGTCTCTTGCTCCATTTTATTTACTGTGCTTCCTTTAACTTCTGTGAATCCTATCCCTTTCATTCTGCAAATGCTTGCAGGTAATATTGACTACATTATTAAAGGTATATGTCAGAGGGGGTTTGTTTGATAAATCAAGTGAACTATTAGCTGAGCTGGACACTTTAGGCTATGCTGAAGATGAGGTAAGTTGATGACTTTTTGTTGTATTTTATATGATAAATTTGAGGTTTGAATCCTGTTGAGGTTATGAATTTCACCTTTAAATATATGTTTCTGACTACAAGTTGTTTCTCATTGATACTAAGATCATAGTAGGTTATCTGTTAAGGTTGTTAGAAGTGCACTCTTAAGAAATGTGCCAGACAATTGGTCTAAGGATCAAGTTTTTCAAATTTTTATGTTTCTTAACTGCGTTTTTAAGGTTTGTTCTAGTTCTTATAAGAAACGATTAATATTTAATTTTCATAGATTGGTTCCCGTTGTTCATTTATCATTGAACTCATATAATACTTGTAAGAACGATACATTTTAAATATTTTTGAGCGAGAAGCATTTATACCTTGTAAATCCAAAATGACTGTGGGGTAGCTGTTTAAGTGGGTAGTTAAATGTAGCTTGATAATAATTTTGCTTGCAGCTTTTAGCACTTGCATCTATTTATACCAGATAAAATTGGCTCAGTGCACATCTGCTCATTCAACCTTATACAAGTTACAAAGTGCCTTAATCTCTTCCCTCCCAGCCACCCATCCATTTTTTTTTTTTTTTTTGGTAAATGTACTTACGTAGCTTATTGTATGCAAACCATTTTCCAGATGCCATATTGTTTATTGATGGATGGTCTTGCTAAGGCTGGACGTTTAGATGAAGCAAAAGCAGTTTTCTCAGAACTGCAGGAAAAAGTGTTAAATCTGGTAAATCTCCCATTAGATGGTGATCTTTTCTTGCAAGATTGTTAAATATCAAACAGTCCATTTGATCGTTGATGACTAAGAATGCTGCAAACTACTTGTGTCAATTTCAGTGCCATTTTAAAAGATGTTATTACTAAATTAAGTTCAAAGCGTTTTTTTTTTACTTTATTTTTTATCTCAGAAATCCTGGTTTGCTCTGTTTTTAACACATAAATTATTTGCTATTTGCTTTTTGGACTGTTTTTATGTTTGCTGGATTTTTTATGTAGTTTCCTTGTGTTGGTTGATGGAATTAGCCTACTACAGGTCCTTATGATTTTGGGTTTTGAATAGAGTGACCTGGTTTGATCTCCGTATGTCAGGATTGCTTGTGAGGTGTGGAAATCAGTGTTGAAGTTATGTAACCTTTTCATTATGCTAAATGAATTCTATATCCCACCTGCAGATGGCTATGCCCATAGTATCATGGTTTCAGCATTCTGCCGCAGTGAGCTTTTTGAAGAGGCGAAGCAGTTGGCCAAGGATTTTGAAGCAAAGTTCAACAAATATGACTTGGTCTTGTTAAATACAATGCTCTGTGCCTATTGCAGAGCAGGTGAAATGGAGAGTGTTCTGCATGTAATGAAGAAAATGGATGAATTAGCCATCAGTCCTGACTATAATACCTTTCATACTCTCATAAAATATAGTTGTATCTGCTTGCTTATCGGACCATGGTGGACATGCCTAGTAAGGGCCATCAAACAGAGGAGGTAGAGTGAATCTCAGCTTATCACTTCTTGACAAGGTCTTTTATTTTTTTAATATCTATTAGAGCCTCCTTTATTTCTTTTCTTTTGTTTTATTCTAATACTAGATGGCACGCCTGCGCGTTGTGCGGGTTTATTTATTATATTGTTTTTATTTTATTATTGAATTTTTATATTTTAAGAAATTGTAAACGACTATTGTTTCACAAAAAAAAAAAAATGTCAAATATTGATTATAATAGAATATTTTGTTATTGTTCTTTTTTTTTTTTTTTTTAATCGGATTTTTATGTTTAAAGATTGCTGAGAATCGTTATATGATTACCATTTAGGACGTCGTTAATTGCTGTTGATAAAATAGGAATGATTCACATGCATTCAATTAATGTATGCAGTACAGATCTTTCACATTCCTCTTTTAATTTGATAAAATGCAAGTGATGGAAGNGCTGAGCCTACTGTAAACTTAGAACTCTGAATGAAAAATGGCAATTGTTTGATAGTCTTGGGAGATACTTTGAATAAATAAAGTAGGAAATTAACAATATCCCACTTATAAAGAGCAATTGTTTTCCATATAACAAGACAGTGAAGGGAGCTCATTTGATTCTGTGTTACTGATTTTTCATGGTGAAAAAAACTATTTAATTTCTTTCTTTCCTTTTCTTATCTTCTTGTCTCAGTCCATGAATTCAAGCAGAGCTTTTCTATGGAGAGCACTTGCTGATGGCAAGTGGATCACCTCGAACCACTGCTAAAATCTGCACAAATCATAGTAAGCATTGTGTTATTGAGGCAAGAGCAATGAATTAGTAATTCAACTTGTAACATATATATATGCACGAGTCGGACATTTTTTATAGACAGATCAAAAGTAAGCGATTAATCACTAATTTCGATTTCATATTTTTGAAGCTAATAACCGGTTTCTTATCTTTGATCAATACGTTAAAAATTTTAAGATATTTACCTTTAAGATTAACTGTATAAATATATAATTATAATCTTCACATTTTTTTTTTTTTTTTTTTTTTTTTTTTTTTTTTTTGAGGGGAACTTGAACTAGTTGATAGAAATTTACAAAAGTTTTGCTCTTTAAAGAATTTAATTCTTCGGATTGAGAATTTACTTTTTTAAAAGAATATTCTTGTACAATGGCAGACCTACCCTCCAAGTCCAAAAAAAAATTTAAAATTAAATTTCATAATACTTTTGGCCACCCCTATTCATTAAATTTTACCCTTTGACCCCCTTTAAATGCAATTTCCTAAATACTTTTGGTCTTCTCATTCATTGAGCGTTACACTTTAGCCATTATATGTAATTTCTTGGTTCCGCCGCCATTGTACGTGTATATATAAAAAATGACTCTCTTTAAATTCATCTTACCTTACTTATTGTAGGTTGGGGATGAGGTGAATCATAAAATTTGAGGCAGAGCAAGGCAGCCTTTGCCATATATTGAATCATCTTCTTATCACTATTAGCATCCAGCAATCTGGGATCCTTCACTTGCTCTAGATTTCCATCTTTTATAAGTGGTACTGCCTGTGTTTCAAAGGAAGGAGATATCATCAATCAACTTCACTATATATTTAAGAGAGATAATATCTCTACACAATTAATTTATTCTCTTTTTATCCATAATTATTAATCTAATCGACATGATAAACTTATTTAAGCCCCCATCAAGATGCCAATTAATAAAATCTAGTGTATTTTTGTAAGGTCGAATGATTTCTAATTGCATACATAATCGGTACAATAAGGTTATATAGACAAATTATGAATACAAACTGGTTTATTTAACATCGGTTTTTATTGCTACATCATTTACTATTACCCATACTTGTTCTTTCTGCAATAACTATAACTATAACTATACTAAAAAAAGATTCTATTACCAGAATCATATATGATATACTTGTAAATTATTTAGTTTTGACTTTTTTGTATTATGTCATCTTCCACTCAATACTCATTTTGTACTGTCACGTCAATTTGTATCAAAGTTTGTATTATACTATTACGTAATTAGTAGAAAACAAAAAAAAAACATTTATTGAAAATACATTGGATTATAACCTTTATCAGAAAAGATATATGCATAAATTATAAGAAAATTTAATAAATTCTGTAAAGGAAATGAGAAAGAAATTTTGAATTGTTTTCATTATTTTTAGTTATTTCTTTAAAAATTATAAAAAAAAAAAAAAGGAGTTATTTGAAAAAAAAAAAAATTGTTCATTTTTTCCAATTAATTTTAATTAGATCTTATATTATATAAAAAGAATGTACATCTTCTGAATTCATTTTCTAAAAACAATACCGATTAACCCCCTTATAATTCAATTATAGTTAAATTAAACTTGTTTAAAATTTAATTATATTTTCCAATTTTGAATATACTTGGAAATTCGCCCAACAAATCTGAATATACCTAACTGATTTTTCTGAATTGCCTAAACATGATATCATCTTCTTACCCAATCAAGCAAAGACTGCCCCTTGTTCTCCTCAGCATTTTGTCCGGTGATGAGCTCTAATAGGAACATTCCATAGTCTCGCACATCTATATAAAGCTTCTCATCTTGCTCCGAATTTTCGGTTCTTCAACAATCATATTTCATCAAATTAACAACTTCATCAGCCATAAGTCATATGTATATAGTATTCTCTGATGTGGATATCTTGGTTCTTGTAAAAATTTAGACGTCTGTTTTTTACCACATGATTATATTAAAAGACAAAAGGTTCTTGATGTGATACAATCTATTGAAATTTTTTTATTCAATATGTTCTCACCATCAGAAATAGAATTTGGATTTTAAGAATTTCTACATGTGAGAATTTTCACATATACGCACACACTAGAAGATTAAAAATCCTAGTAGTATAGCAAGAAAAAATAATTTTTTATAATATTGAACGTCACACTTGTAATCTGTAAAATCGAACGTCAATTATAACAAAATATCTTATTATAATAAGTTAAGTAGGATATATCTTGAATGTTACATATGTTTAATATTGTCAAAATATCTCCAGCTATATATGCAAGTATGATCTGTTCATATTTTTATCAAAAATACATCTTCGACCAATTACTAAATTTTTAATTTTTTTTAATGAATCATAATTTTAAAATTATTTACAAGTATCATATTATATCCTTTGACTTTGACCCAGACTACTAACTATATATATAAGGGAGACTTACTCAGCTGGTGATTCCTGGAGATTAAGCCACTTTGCCGCCAAGAAATTGCAAAGCTTGAACGACAGTCGAAGAATAAAATCAGTGTTGGAGCAAATTTTGTTGACAAATAGAATGGAAATTCAATTCATAAAGATTTAAAGTGATAAAATCCTTCATATACATATGAACCTGAATGAAAAGGTGGCTTAAGCTTAATGGTGAAGAATGAATTATATGAGTTTGAGTCGTAAATTTAAACATTCTACGAAAATCATTTTTCCAGTTAAGTTAATATACAAGAAATTAAGCTATTTTGGTCATTCTAAAAGCCGTAGAAAATGGACTGTAATTGAATGATTAAATCTTACCATAGCAGAGCAACCGTGAGAAAAAACAATATGACCAGAACAAACAGATTGGTGAACAATAGGTCCATCTCCACACTCCTCATGAAGATACCGCAAGCTTCCTCCAATTTCTATAGCTATATACCACCTTGCTTTCCATGTCAATTTTCTCGCCAACTCATCATCTACAATTAATACACCATGACTTTTCAAATAGAATTAATCCTACGAATTGGATTATTTTAGATAATTAAATACTATAGAGGATCCACAATCTTAAATTAAATATGTAATTATATGTACTAGAATATCATGCAGGAAAGCATTAAGATCAATTACATATAAAATATAAATCATACACACCACAAAAAGAGATTGTTCTGTTAACAATTTTGTCTACAGAATAACATAATAATAAATCTTAATTACTAAAATAACCTAGTTTAATTTAAAGTCCTACATTTTATACTGAATGGTCATAGGACTTTTTTTATAACATGGAAGGTTATGTTAGTTTGTTCATATTAGAAATTATATTTTATATATTATAAGTGAAAACTTAATTATAAATGAGGCATGTATGTTAACTTCACTAAAAACTTAATAGATTCAATAAGAAATCAATTTTGATATCTAAGTCTAACAAACTCTCACATGTGAAAAGTGAATTTATTTTTAATTTAAATTTTAAAACTTTTGACTTAAATAACATGTTAAGTTATGCTTTATAGTTAAGGATTAAACAAAAAAAAAAAAAGGGTTTGTCGGGCCAAAACAACGCGTAGAGTTTTTGGCAATAACAAAGTAAGGACACAAAAATGACATATAATTTCAACAATAGCAAAACAAGATACTTACCGTTCAAGTTACTGGCAAGAGTACCCAAGCATGGAAAATCACTGATTATTAACCGGCTACTGCCAGTGCAGCAGTAGCCCACCAGGTTCATAATGTTGCGATGGCGAACCCTGGAAAGGATCATCAACACTGTCCAGAATCGGTCGTCGTCTTCCTGGAAAGATTTGATCACCACAGGCGTTTCCTGGAAAATTCCCTCATAAACGTTCAGGTTTTCCGATTTCTTAAGCAAGATCTCTTCCCCGAAACCATCAGTTATCTCTTCAACTTCCCTCAAAGAAAAAGCTCGGGGGAAACCACTTCTCCAAGATAGAGGATACCAATGAGGCGTTGCCGCTGGCTGCTGAGCTGATGAATTTTGTTCCTGCTCAGGATTTTTGTCATGGCTTCCAGGCTGATCATTGGTGGCAACTTCTTGATTAGTTCCTTCGTAATAATTAGGAGGGTAAGCTAAAGTTGTTATTAGGGGAAATTTTGATGGCATCAAGGTTGCAAAATATTTTCCTTTCATTATAGCAACGTTGCATCCCACATGCCCGCGTATGAATCCTTGGTATTTCTCAAAGTGGCTTCCAAAAAAACCAAGAAAATTTTTGTCAAGAATTACATTCAGTGACGGATCATAGAATTAGGAGGGACAAGTTCAAAATGTCTCGAGTTAAGTTAAATAATTTATCAAAAACTAAGTGAATAGTATTGTAATTAGTTGAATATACACACAGACACAGGAAAAGTAAACAAGTGAGATCAAATCTACAAAGTACAACAGTAGAAACAAACAAAAATCAAATTTAAAATTTTTTTTTTTTTAAATTGAGTGGGGTCACCAGCCCCCACTAACCATTATGTAGGTCTGTACTTAATTATATTAAGCTTAAATCAAGCATTTGAGTAGATCTATATATGTTTTAGGGAATGATTTAGAAAATTTCATAAAAAATTTAAGCACACAACTGAAAATAGACACGTGGTATGAGATTCTTGAAAGGGAGAACGACATTTTCCCATCCATTAAGTTTCAAAATGACACTCTTTCATCCTTCGTTAGGTTTTGTTATTTTTTCCGTTAATATTTTACTGAAAATATGAAAATACCCTTAAATATTTTAATTTATAAATTTTTTATTATTTTTTAATTAACCAAAAAGTCAAATATTAAAAATTCAAAAAAGAAAAAATAATTAACCCCACCTAAAAGATTTAAATTTACACCACCTATTACATCATTTTCATTACACCATCTCCATTTTACTAATAATTATTTTATTATAATATTAAAAATTCAAAATAATTAAAAATTTGTGTGGATGTGGGATATGCCACATCATGGTGTAATGAAAATGGTGTAATGAGTAGTGTAAATGTAGCATTACTCGTTATGAGTAATGCTATAAAATTGTTTAAAGTTAAATAATCTTAATATTTATTTATAATGTCATCAATATCACATAACTATTATTTATAATGTTTTTCATTTTTACTAATTAACATAAAAAATCAATATGCCTAATTAATTAAATAAATAAAGAAAAAAATGTATCTTTATACTTGGACTAATAAATAATTGAATAAAGACTTTGAATTAACTAAATTTTAATTTATAATAAACCAACTAAGAAATAAATTATTTAAGGATATTTTCATCTTTTTAGTCAAATATTAACAGAAAACACTAACAGAACTTAACGAATGGTGAGAAAGTGTCATTTTGAAACTTGACAGGTGGGAAAGTGTCGTTTCATCAAACCTTGGGCAGGAAAATGTCGTTCTCCCTTCTTAAAAGTTTAAGGAGCGTGGGTTATTTTCGATCTTTGGTTTTGACAATGTCTTGTGTGTAATTAAATTTTGTATTATTAGTGAATGAGAAAAACCTGTCTAAAACGATCCAGCGAGTATTTGAGTTTTGTGCTTCATCGACTGTTATTTTCCCAGGACAATAACCAGCTGCAAGCTTAACCTCCAATTTCACCTATAAATTACATAGACTTACTAAGTTTTTTAGATACATCCTCAATTTCTTCAGGTTCAGAGATTCACAGCAAAAAATAATTTTACAAATGTATATTTATAATGATCACTAACCTCTTTTCTCCTGCATTGTCGATGGAATTTTTCAAGGTTATTCTGGTATTGTACTCGTTTCCTTTCTAATTTTGCTCCAAGCTCTCTGGGATTTACTTCACCATGTCCTGATGAGAACTCCAATTTTTCCCCTAAAAAATTGACCCTCGTTGAAATAAGAAACTCCAAGTTTATTCTGGTATTCCTAACATTTGTTACACACACACACACATATGTATATATCTATATACATACAATTTTAATGTTCATAATAACACAATGAATTCAAATAAGATTGTAACTCAAATAATCAACACACGCATGAATGACAAAATAAATGATTATTGTTTTGATATATTTTCAAGATTTGGAGCTTAAAATATAGATTTAAGAAAAAAAGAGAGAGAGAGAGAGAGAGAGAGAGAGAGAGAGAGAGAGAAACTTACATATACCAGAGATGCCCACATTGCTAATTAATGGGAAACAAGAGTAATTCTTCTTTCCAAAATCTTGAAGAACTCCAAGTAAAAGTAGTTTGTCTCTGGGACGAACGAAATGGTTTATAACCCAGTCAAGGGCATCAACATTTTTTTTATTTCTATTGGCATCAACTACGACAATCACTCCTGCACTTGTTGATGTGAGTAGCTCCATAAATTTATTAATTTGAAGTGTTTGGGGGAGATGGTGGGGTTTATTTTTCCCCTGAAAATGAAAATCTAAATAAAGAAATTATACAAGTGCACAGAGAAAGGCTTAGACATAATTTTGTTTTGTTCTTTATACCAAGAAATTTGTGGATGTTCACTGATAATTCCAAGCTGGTTTGTCTCTTCATCCCGGGCTTCTCTAAGACAATTCTTTGTTTGGACTTTGTAGATATATACTATGTTTTCATAGAATATATAATGCTCGACAATTACTAGAAAATTAATGGGCATATAGAGAACAGTTAAGGGAATCAAATTAAGCATTTATTTTTCTTTTAGGCACATTATATTATTTTCAAAGTTTAATATTACTAAAAACAACATTTTCAAGTTAATTTTAAGTTAACTTTTTGAATTGTCTAGACATAGATAAATTCTTAGAAAAATATTTTAAAGATAACCTAGTTTAATTAGATTTCTTACGGATAGGTACGAGGTTTAGAAATTACAATCCCCTTACCGACCTTGGAGAAAGATAATTATGATCATTTACTTTAGAGGTATAAATAATATTTTATACAAAATTTTTATATAAATTCTGTCAGACAAACTAATTTGTTTTTAGATTATTGGGTGATTTTAAAATAAAAAGAAAGTAAATAATTAAAGAAGATTACATGACGAATATGTAGAACTGACACATCAATTTGTTAAAAATAATTTGAATAAAAAGTTTATATATCTAGTATTACTTTAGATATATTATTATTTATGGATCAATTATTTAAAAAAAAAAAAAAAACTTACAAATTGTTGGAGTTGCGTCGACTATTTCAACATTAATGGGCCACATAGACACATTTAGCGCCCCCGAACCTATAGGCGGTTTGGGCTTTTTTTATGTATAACTATTAAAAGATTTTTTTAAGTTATTAATTTCTTATTAGGTTTGAGCTTATTAATATGAATCCTTGTAATACTAGGGTTTTGTCTTTTAAACCTAGTATATAAACATATTTTTCTTTTGTAATGAGGGATATAGCAATTATAAGGCAAATTACTTCATTGTAAACAAGAAATGTGAGGTAGTATAGAAAAAATATTGACTTTGTTGAACGTAGCTTGTTAATTGGATGAAACAGGGTAAATCACACATACTTCTTCTTTCTTTTACTGTTTATAATTTGTGTGTTTGATATTTTGGTTTCGTATCATATATCATAAAACCCCCAAAGTTCCTAAGCCATTCCACCCACCAATCACCGGCAATCAGAAGCTAGGGTTTCGCCGTTTCTTATCCCAATTTCGGTGATTTTGGAGACTAAAACTTAATAAAACACAACCTCCCAACTCATCGTGATCCACACTTCAAAACCGCCTAACCTTGATTCATGTTTGCCGCTGAAAGTTGCCATTTGCAGGTTGCTACAGTACCCCTGGTCCAACCCCCAATGAATCTGGGTCAAATAGACCCCCCAGTTTTTTTACTCTCCCAACCTGACTCACCGGACAGGTCCCGGTTAAACCGACCAAGCTAGGTTTTAAAATATTGGTTGGAAATTTTAAATTAATAGCAAAGTACTTGCACTAGATGGATAGTGTATAAAAATAATTTTGAGTCTTATATAATAATTTTTATGAAGGCTGAAACTGCAAATAAGAAGAAAATAGGAATTGGGGTCAACTAAGATAAAAGGTGGGGGGCTAATAGCATCAGTCATGTCAAATATAGAGGAACATTTTTAAATACCCATTAAGTGATCATTATTATATTATTGGAGTATTTAGTGTGTCCAAATTTAGAAACATAATATTGCTTAGTGTGACTTAGGGGTATTAGTCGAGCCGAGCCGCTCGAGCTCAGCTCAGCTCGGATACATTGTTGAGCCAAGCCGTTCAAGCTTAGCTTAGCTTAGCTACATAAGTCAAGCCGTTCAGCTCAACTCAACTCTGCTACATTGTCAAGCTTAGTTTGAGCTTGCCAGATTTCGGCTTGACAAGCTCGAGCTTGATTGGAAAGTGGAAAAGTGGAGAGACTCTCCATTTTTTTTTTTTTTTTTTTTTGGCATCACACATTTTCTTTAAAAACAAAAAAACGACAAACTTATAAATTATGTGAATGCACAAATCAATTGAAAGTTAGAAACAATAAATATGTATATATTGTCAAACACACATAAACATAAGGCATGTGAAATATTGGCATCACACATTTTCTTTAAAACAAAAAAACAACAAACTTACAAATTATGTAAATGCACAAATCAATTGAAAGTTAGAAACAAAAATATGATAAAACAAACCTAAAGAATTTAATGCAAATATGTTATTGACCAAACTTATCTCATCTTGATTATTTCAAAATAAAATTAGGATTTAGATGTAGAAAAGGAAATTTATTAGGGATCCCCATTAGACTTCTATCTTGAGGATTGAGAAGCACAGCCTCGCCCACGAGGTACTAGAGTGAACACTAAACTATAACAAGGGACTCACTCTATAAGACAGCCAAATGTAGCATTGTGTCCTCTTTTCCCCCTAATTGAGTGTATACAAGAAGGCTATGATTGGCAGTTATCAGAGTAAGATTAAGGTATAGCATGAGGCAAGTTAAAGGTGCTTTCTGGACTAGGTGTCGTGTACGATAAGATGACAACTGCTTTGAGCTGCTGCTATTGGTAGCAGAGGTGGTGGTCCCACAATAGCACGCTAATGTACAACTTTGCAAGTTGTTCAACCAACGAGGGCTCCATACTGGTGATATATAGTATTAGTTGTTGTAGAAATAATGTTTTAAAAACTAACTCGGGTCTAAACCCAACAAATAAGTGGGTCTTGGGTTGACCGTGGTCAAACCAATGATGTTTCACCTAAAAAAATTTCAAATTTTTTGAATCAGCACACGTTAGTATAGTCAATGTTTTTGTGCACGTTACATACTCGTTGACTGGCTTTCTTTCCCTTTTTTCTTCTATTTTCTTAACCAAACCACCCCCACCACCATTGGAACCCCCACCATCTACTCTTCAAAACCATACCCTTTATCCCCTCTCATCACTCATCGATCACTGCAATGGAAAACGCATTTTTTCGGCTGTCCTTTGCCAAATTTCGACTGTTTTGAGCGGCAAAAACTCCAACCACCACCACCACCAACATTAGACTCACCGGCTACTCCCCTTCAAAACCCCCAAAGTTCCAAGCCATTCCACCTACCAATTGCTGCAATGAAAACGCATTTTTTTAGCTCCTTGCCTTCTTTCCCTTTTTTTCAGGTATTTTTTCACCCGAAATCAACCTGTCACCACCACAAACCCCCACCCTCTCCTCTTCAAAACCATACCCTTTATCCCTCTCATCACTCGCCGATCGCTGGTGATGGAAAATGTGTGTTGTCGACTATTCTTTGCTAGATTCCAACCATTTTGACGACAAAAACTCCAACGACCACCACCATTAGACTCATCGCTACTCCCCTACAAAACCCCCAGTTCCCAAGCCTGCACTCACCAATCGTGGCGACAGAAAACACATTTTTTCGACTGTCCTTTGCTAGATTCTGGCCATTTTTGTGACGAAAACTCAACCACCACATCATTCGACTCATCAGCTATCCCCTTATAAAGATTAAATTATAAAAACAAAGTTTTATTGTAGTCAAATTTGTAGATTCAATATTTATTGTAGCCTCAGGGATATATGACGTGAACAAAATTCAGCAACTCTAAATTCTAAAGAAATTAACTTACAATCGATTTGGGGCTTCAATCGTCAGAGAGACTGAGATCTGACAGAGTTGAGCGAGAGACACTGGCCGCTGTGCGTGTTCGAGCGAAAGAGACTGAGAGAGTTGAGCGAGAGAAAGTGACTGAGTGAGAGACTGAGCTGAGATCTGGTCTGAGAGTTTGAGTGACTATGAGGTCTGTGCGACTGTGCGTGACTGCATGTTCCAGCGAGGCAGCGGCCAGCGAGAGCCGAGAGAGACTGAGACTCTGAGAGTGAGAGAGACAGAGAGTGTGTGAGGTCTGTGCTGTGCGTGACTGCGTCTGCGTGTTGCCGTGTTCCAACGAGAGAGACTGAGAGTGAGAGAGAGTGAGAGACAGGCTTCCGACTTCCGAGTTCCGACGAGAGCCGAGAGAGACTGAGATGAGTGAGAGAGACAGAGTTGAGTAATTGAATTTGAGTTAATTCTGACATTGTGTTAGACTTAGGGCTATTGACTTATTGTTAGTTGTTACACTCAAAAGTCAAAACAACGTAGTTTTGTAAAATCCGGATCGGATTCGAATATCCGAATTTAAAAAATTAACATTTTCGATCCAGTATCCGATCCGAATATTCGGATTTTTTAAAATAACGATCCGTATCTGATCCGAATTTTTGAATATCCGATTTTTGCGGATCAGATTCGGATCGGATATCAGATTTTTTTGCACAGCCCTAGATGAAACAGAGTAAATCACATATACTTCTTCTTTCTTTTACAGTTTATAATTTGTGTGTTTGATATTTTGGTTTCGTATCATATCTCTATTTTGTTCATAAATCATAAAGCACTCTAAGAATGATCACCGAAAAATCAATCATCTTTAAAGAAAAAATTATTAATTTAATTAAAGTTGAGCATTAATGACTACTAACACGTAGGATGTACGAACTAAATTAAATGATTAGTGTAAAAGAAAAAATAAAACAAAAGAAAACCCAAACTAAAATTACTACCATTTCTATAACCACAAATTATAAAACCATAAGCCATGTAGTGAGAAAACCTTCTAATTTTGTCTTTTCATGTAACAATACTAAAGCAATTTTTCTAATCCGGCCCGACCAATTCAACCGGTTGGATCGGGAATAGGGCCTTCATCGATCTAGATGCTTATTAAACCCAGCTATGTCATTTAACCTGCATTGAACCGCGGTTGAAACGGCGGAATAGTGGTGAACTACCAGTTCAATCAGCCCAGAGCCAAAACTAGGTCACTAAAAGTGAAAACCCATAAATTATTTTGATCGAATCTTCACTCTTCATTCTTCCATCTGCAATCTTCAATCGACAACAATTTGGTCGTCAGCTGTTAAAAA